GTGCGATGCATTGTTAGGACAATAGTCATTCCTATCATGCATCGGATAGGCACAACTCTGCACAGAATTCAGAGGCAATCTGCACTCGTCTTCTTATCTGCTCGAGTGTGAAGGAGTCCCATTATTGGCTGCGTGTGTCATTGCGCGATGAAAGGCGCCTCTAGCTATTTTAATTGGCACTTTATCTGACCTGCCACTCCTTCCCCTCAAAATTTTAATGCACAGATTGAAAAGGGGCAGGAACCTTGATATGCATCTGCTGGTATCATATCCTTTGCTTCTATTAGCTCGAAGGATTAATGGTATGCCCAGGATCCTGAGTTATTTTTATTTGGATGAGCTCAGTACTGTTAGATTTGACATCACGTCGAAAAACAATGTTTGCGTTGAAGACCAAATACTGCAAAGTGTGTAGCAAGACTATGAACACGATGACGAAAAACCATATGATAGCAGCGGGTCTTTTCCGCCTAGTTTAATTCTCTCTGCCACTTTCAATGAGCAGTTTTGCTAATTTATTGCATTTCAGCCCTAGCCAACGTTCTGCGACGAGTGCAATGTTAACGCCATAAAAATGAATCTGCTTATACAAATAATGTTACAAATGTACTTAATTTAGACGATGATATGTACGGATTCATTCATCTCACCTTATTTTTAACTAGATGCGCATAAAATTAGTTGCTCCTAGGAAAGCCTCGTTATGACTGCCATAGGATTCATGTCGGAAAGATAGAACCAATTTATTCACGTGCAACTTATAGCTTAGATTTTGAGCAAAATTGAATTTCCAGAAAAGTGGAGAGCTACTTGACGGCTATAACTGACACTCGGTAACTAAAGTATCTTGGTTGAGTAACTCGAGCGAAGTGTCTTGTATGTTGTCCAGGCATATTTGCTATTCAAGATATTTGGGTAGTAACTAACCTAACATTTTCTGGACAAAATTGGTGAGGAAAAAAATCTTCCCTCAAATCCGACTCAAAATCGCTTTACTGACGAAATCTTTTACATGTCTAAGCCTGTTACCACAACATGGGACATTAGATCTGCCTGAACACAAGCTACGAACACTCTCTCACCATTGTCACGTACTATTACCACACTGGAAAGCCTCGATCTGAACACAATTATTACTACAGCTGGAGATTGCATTCACCAGCAATTGAGCAGCGTAGTGATCAAAACTAAACTACAAATCAAATCAAACCATACTTTGAAATGGGTGTGTAAGGAAATCTAGATGAAAGCCTATTGCACTCTGGAAAAGTGATGTTTTCCGTAAGTCTAAAAGATCTATACTTACATGGTGTGATTAAAGCAGGACAATTGCATGACCGATACATATTTACCTTGCAATAAAACAATTTACAATAATATTAGCATAGAAGCTAAATTAAATCAAAAACCTT